AGTTGTTATAGTAATACTCGGCTTTTCTTCCAATCATTCTCTCCCTTTGCCATCTTACTTGAACCTCTATGATGAATTCTGCTATATCCCTTAAGTGGTTGGATTCCCTTAATCGGTGACCACACACGTCAGCTGTATTTTCTCTGGATCGGGTCAATGACATGTATAGTTTATTTATTCAGAATATCGTAGAGCTTTTCAAGAGCTACTTTTCTATACTAAAGACTAGTTGCATCCTCTCTTATTTATGGAAGAAATTAAGCAAATATGATCGCTCAATCATTGTCACTAGATAGGAGCTGTTCGAAAATGAACTATTTCTCCTTGATGACATGCCTAAATATGGTACCTAAATATGGTTCATACACTATTCTGTTCAGTTTTTCATTGGCTATTTTTCTATATCAAACTTTATCCTAGGTTCATATTATATTTTGAATAAAATCGCTTTTATTAAGCACTGGTATCCCGAAGACATGGTCGTAGAAAAATTAATTTCAAAATTCTCAACAAGATTATAAAGGTGTAGATAAACTTAAAAATGTGTAAAATCATTTTCTCTATAAAATCTGATCAAAATTAAGACGAAAAGGCAGTGGGTCGAAAAACAAGAAAAAGTGACCCCCCCCCTCCTTTCTGACAAGCAGAACAGGAAATACACAAATGCCTGAGAAACGGAAAAATAACAATAGATGTGAAAATAAAGAATAAAAATATTAGCAGTTCTGATATGTTATAAAATTTCCATTTTTCCCTTTTGCGTTACAATCACAAAATTCACTCCGGTCATAGGACAGTAGGTTTAATGAATTTTGGTCATTTGCCAGCAAAAGGAAATGAAAAAAAATTGAATAACAGATCAAAAATAAGCACAACATATCCGTTCTTAGTGATTTTACAAAAAAAAGACTGTTTATGTTTGAAGATTTTCGTGAAGGAAATCATCAAGTGTATCAGTATTCCAATTATCTATGCCCAATGATTCAATTTGTTTATTACTTTCATCATAGAGGAGTAAGGTGGGATCGAGTCCACGAACGAATTGTATCGAAAACGATGGATATTTACTCGGTCGATCACTTTTTATAAACGAATGAATCTGAGCATAGCGTCCTAATTTTCAAGAACACACTTGAAGAACTGCACGATGATATTTCTATAAAAGAAGACAATAGATCATGTACGAAGGCAGAAAGTCGATAGTATAAGAAGTTGGTTACTTACAAGGACTTTTTCTGCATCTACTTCATCTTTAATACAACATGTTTTACATGAATTTTCAAGTGCATTAAGTTTGAACTGTTTTAATTCATCACAACTACTACATAAAAGTGTACTCGAAGAATATCCAAGATCATGGCATTGAGATGATGATAAATTTTCTGTTGTAACTATCACCTAACATAGAAAATAAACTGTAATGAGAGAAATATTAGTGATTCAATTATGTAGACTCACAAACGAAGCTAGACAATGGCTCAGAAAGGCCAGCAAAAGATTGGCACTGCGCATAACTTGCTTGCACCAAGAATCAATATCTAACAAAAAATGAATACAATCAACTTTTTCCAATATCTTAAAGTCTATTACAAAATGAAAAACGTATATTGAATAATCGTATAAAAAAACAGACGACTAAAATCGGAATCTTTTCACTATGCTTCGTTTTTTATCTAAATTTTGCTCAGTAAGCGCGTGAAATCTATTTGCGATACATTTAGCTTTAGTACACGTACTAAAGCATTATTCATATGTTATAAACTATAATTGAGATGAACTTAAGTGACTGACTTAAGATTTTATAACATCAACCCCTGTTCTGTTTATCATCCCTGCTCGAAACTGTTGAAATGTTTTATCCTTGTTGTTATTGCATATTTTCCTGCTTAAAAACGGACTGTCGAGGCACATTCAACGAAAACATCTATTTATGCAGTATAACTTAGAAAACTCTGTTTTCATTTGCTTGTCTGCCTAGCCTATCGTATTATTCATATCAGTGATTCACCCATTTCTTCTCCTCTTCTCTTTGCTTTTCCTTGGTCTCGCACACATCATAAACAAAAACACAAAACGCTTTTCCACCTAAAAGATGTATTTAAAACGACTAATAGGCAGTCAGTTAGATCGTTGAGTCATACTTTTCTAACTGGTATATTACTTTGGAAAAGTGAGTAGACCCGACAAAGAGTAAAATGTAAAAAGTAGATTTATTTCAGAGGACTTATCTGGGACTCAACCAAAAAATCCGAAAAGTGTGTTGACTGTGGAATCTTATTTTCACGTTTGATCCTAGCGTATCTCGATCTGACTGCTGTAACACTCCTCCTGGATTAAGATTAAGCGAGCTTAAAGCAATTTTAGTGTGTGGCCTGACAATTGATGGATGACTCATACAATTGAAGACAAATAAGCATCTCTTTTTAATGTGTAGGACTCAAATTTATTGGGTGGAAATTTCAGTTATAAGCCGAAATAATGGAATATTCTGTTTGAAATGATCAAATTTTTCGGATAATTAGTCCTTAATGAGAAGAGCCCTCACGGCATTACCGTATGTCACTATTTTAAGGTACTCAAATAGCGCTATCATCGATTTCTCGTGTTTGTCCGAGATATTTGAGTGTTTTAAATAAGACTTTTAATATTTCCTGACCATATCCAGTGAATTTGAGTCCCACACATTTGAGATTGATTATACTTTTTCATGCAACTGGATTTTGTCAGTCCTTACAGTATTTAAATATGTCATAATGCGTTTCTGACATCGCCAACAGTCATTTTTTTTACTGAAATCTTTCATTCAATGGTCAAACTCATGCTTGTTTCTTACGATTATTCTTTGCCTTACTTTTTCAAAATGTGGTCATAATTTGACAGTGCCGGTTTTCAATGATGAGATGACAACGCCACAGAAAAAGACATTTAATCTTAATGTATCGGATTCTCCTGACTAACGTGTTTTATTATTTTCCTCATAACGTTTTTCCATTGCATCCTTGAAACCAACTTTCACAGTATGGAATAAAATTCTAATAGCTGGTTCATGACTATAGATAGTTTTGGGGCTCTGCATTTTGCAATTCGAAGAGAGAAGATGTATCTGTTTTATCCAAACGCGTTAAATTCAATAACATTCCTCCATAGTACTAAATGAGAAGAACAAATTTTTCTTTTTCAAACTCTTTCGATAGCGTCATCTTTTATGCACCCTTCACTTACAAAACCATCATTAAAAAAAGATCCCTTCATTGTCGTGAAGCGGATCCATTATTCTACAGATTTTAAGTGACTTATTGTGTTGATCTTCTAAAATTAAACTTATTGTAACAGTACGACATTCGATCAGTGAATTTCAGAGGTACATTGTTCTTTTTCAGATAATTTCTATACAATGGCTTGGAGAGAAAATATTAAAAAGCCGCTACCAAAACCAAGTGTTCCGAAGCCAAAATTTCAAACTCAAGATGATGATTGGGAAACAGATACATCCTATATTGTTCGTATTAATCTTTGACACATTAGTACCGCAATGGTTTATCGTAAACTTTTTAATTTTTAGAATAATGTTGATGAAAAACAACAACGATTCGGATCGCAAACTGTCGAAGGTTCAGGACACGTAGATCACGTTGATTTTGCATCTGTACAAGAAAAAATGAGAACAGCTGACAGTCATATTAAATCTGGTTATCAAGAAAAGAATCCAAATAGTGGCTACGGTACGCCATTTAAAGATTCCTGTATTTGTCATCAACTCACCATCTATTTTTAGGTGGAAAATATGGTGTGGAAAAAACAATGGATAAGGTAATACTATCTGTGAACAATAAGGACTTTGTTTACTTAAATAAGAAACTTTCTTTAGAATGCTGTTGATTACAGTTATCGTCATGAACCAGAAAAACATGGATCCCAAAAAGGTATCAAATGTTTTTTGTGATTTTATTCTAGAAATTTAAATAACTAACTATATAAACATAATAACAAATAGAAACACAAAGAGTTAGAGTATTGGAGATGGTGGCGGTAATGGAACTTGTATTCCATTATAAAGTGCAGCTGAATAGGCTGGATGTTGAAGAAAATAATTCACAAATGCTTCTTGTGGTATTCGACCGTTAATCATATCGTTTGTTTCTAAACTTCTCCACACTTGCATGGGATCAGTGTTAATATTATATAAATTACTCATATCTTGCACCAGTCTTCGTCCCATATTCGGCGTTATATAACCATTGTTGTGTGAATAATGGTCTAATACAAAATTTAATCTTGTTTGTGGATTAATTTTATTTTGTAACATGACATAAGCAGAAATAAATTCATCAAATGTTAAACGTCCTGAACGATCTTGATCAAATGTATTAAATATTTTATCAGCAAATGCATTGTTCATTCGATTATCACTTCGATTATCATTTGATGGACTGTATTTAAGCATGTCTTTATAAATTCGACGAAATTCGTATTTGTTTAAAAGATAATCTTTTGAAACACGTTTAAAGTCACGATAAATGCGATCCAGTTGATTTCGTGGTATTCCAACTAAATTTGATATTGCATCTAATTCCCATGCTGGAGTACTATGTCCCTTTTGACGATTACCCATTTTATAATAACCAGAAAAATCAAACTGTTTGCATAATCAGTTAGTACATTCGTTGTTCTTTATATATATGAATATTTTCTATTCATATTTTAACGCCTTCGCATTCATAATGATTGATAAAAAAGGAAGAATCATCTACCTATGACACCGTGAGACGAGAAAGATAAAAATCAATAAATTCTGATTCGGATGAGTAATATTTATTTCTCATGTAATATTTTTCTGCTATAGATTTCAAGAAGGGATTTGGTGGAGAACATGGTTTAGATGATCGAGCAAAAGACAAGGCAGCATTAGGTTATGATTACAAAGCACCGCTAGAAAAACATTCATCACAGACAGGTAGGCTGATCTTTGTACGTAACTATAAATTGTAACAAATCTTTTTGTCATTGATTTCTCAGATGCATCCAAAGGATTTGGTGGAAAGTTTGGTATTGAAAAAAATGCACAAGACAAATCGGCTGTCGGATTCTCTCATAAAGAACAAGTTGAAAAACATCCGTCACAAAAAGGTATAGATTAATCTCTTTTTGGTACTGATTAGATTTAATGAGTCGATTATCAGAAAACCTGTTGGCTAATGATTGATGATAATTATTCTCTTTTAGACTATAACATTGGTTTTGGAAAAATTGGCGGTCCAAAGTCTGAATCAAACAAGGCTGTTGAATCTAGTGGTAGATGTCCTAAAGAAATCTATTTGTTGTATCTTCATTTGTTTTTTTTTGTTTTTTCTAGATCATCACATGTCAAAAAATATTGTTGAGAAACATCCATCAACTATTAGCTCACAACCTGTGTCCGGTAGTGAAGGTGTGAAAAACATTCGTGCCAGGTAAATTATTTAAAACCCTATTTGCTGTCATTCATCTTATTTATTCTACCATAGGTTTGAAAATATCAAAAAAGAACAAGAAGAAGAAACAGCCAAACGAATTGCTGAAGAACGTTTTCAACGAAATAAAGTTGAAAGTGGAAAAGTGCCGTTTTCATCATCTGCTGCCATAATAGCGCCGTCGGTCTCTGTTAAAAATGGTCATGAACGACAATCTTCTCCATCACCACCACCACTGCAAAGAAAGGAAGAAGAGAATGCAGATATTTATGAAAATATTGATGTGATACAACAAATTGTGCAAAAACCAACTGAACAGCCGAAAATGATCAATAATAAACGATTAAGTAATCAAGAAGAAACGGTGAAACCACAAGTAATTGGAGGAATGGATTTATCTGGATTGAGACTTCGAAAAAGACATGATTCGTCTGATTCACAAAATCAAGAAGAAAGTACAGATGAGGAATGGGGAGATCAGAAATATAAAAAGCATATAACAAAAAAACCTTCTCAAGAAGAAGTAAGATCATCGATCAAACACGAACCACAGCAACAACAACAACAACAACACGAGGAGCAACTGCTGCAATCAAACCAATCGCAGATGTACTCTACGGTTGATGAAGTTATAAAATGTCGAGCACTATATGATTACGATACAGGTTAGAAAACACACCATGTGACATTGAAACGGTTCGAGTCAAATACAAAAAATATTTCGGGCCCCGTTCGAGTCATCGGAAAAAATTTTCAATTTTTCATGCATTTTTAATAAGAACGACGAAATTCTGCTTAAAAAATCTAACGTTATACCTCATTTTTTTGGTGCGTAAAAAAGAAATTTTCGGGTTTCATTCAAATCAAGGAAAAAAAATTTCGAGTCAGGTGGGGTTCCGGTCAAATGAGTTTGATCCGATTTGGTCTCTGTCATGTGAATAATTTTTATCTTAATTAGTTTTCTTTTTAGCTGCCGACGATGAAATTTCTTTTGCCGAACATGATATTATTACCAACGTCAAAAAGGTTCGTATGAATAATGTCTTTGCGACAAAATCTTTGGCCATTTCTTGGCGGTTTACAAAAAGCCATCATTGTATACCTTTTTCAAATATAAATGTTTGATATTTCTATATCAGAATTCCAACTGATAGCTATCTTCTTCAAACAAATCCATAACAGTTTTTAATTTCAAATTGATGTTACGAATTTAAACTAGAGTTTTTCTTGTTATACTTCAATATGCTTAGAATTGCTCTATTTATAAAGAGAATGATATTTTACCTCGGTTGCCGTTTGTAACATTTGCAGAAGTCTTACTAATTGTATTTTCATTGTACAGGAACATGAACAATGGTGGTCTGGAGAATGTAACGGCAGATCCGGTCTATTTCCAGCAAATTATGTTGAACAATTATAACGATGAATCTTTTTCTTTCTATTTATTTATCTTTTGCCATTTTATCCATCCACTTTTTTGTGATTTACGCTTCTCATATATCACATTCTGATCTTCCTCGCTAACATAGTTTGCGAGTATTCCGGCGTATTTATGTCATTAAAACAATTTGTATGATCTGATCCAATTGTGAGAAACTGGCTAAAATTTATTGCTAAGGAATTAGTTGGTAAGGGTTCTTTTGCCTGTATGCGTTATCTATCTCAGATTAGATTCTCTGCTGTTATATTTTACGTCTTTTATGTGAAGAGTAGTAGTCTTTCGTGTTCGTAGCCTTTTTGGGTTAAAATCTACTATTTTTTACAACGTCTTTTCATTTTTTTTTTGTATTTTTTTGCAATAATACGTTGGAATTTGTATTTTTCGTGAATTGAAATGCCTATGAGTAATTTTTTTTTGTGCATTTTACAAATTTCTTTTTGTTCTCTCTTTTTTTTAAATCAATGTATTATTTGGTAACAACAGAATTTTTGAAACCATTTTTAATTAATGAACTTGTGCTTTTCTAGTATCTGTTTTTTTTATTGATTACTATCGCATGTAGAATGAATGATGCCTTGGAGATCATAGCAATTGTCCGGATAATTTATAGTATATTCAGATACATCGATCCTGATTATTGCCATATAATGGTAATCAATACTTTGTCGGATTGACAGCACTCATTCTATTTACTTGAATATTTGTAAGTTGGTAAATTTAATTTTCTCTCATAAACATAGACTTGTCAGCAATAATTGACCAGTCATCATTAAATTAGTGATGTAACAAAAGAAAAGAGATCTGACTTTGCATCGGTATCTATACTATATTAAATAAACAAGTAACGTATACATTTGTAAGCTTTCATTTTTATTTATAAAACAACAGGGATATGAGAAATAAATCCTCTAAGCACTTCTATTTCATTTTCTAATATTATCTACTCTTCTGCCTTCAAGAACAAAAAATCACATCTTGGTCAACTAATGTTATACATTATTAACTTTTGAAAGTAAAATCATTATTTTAATATTCTCAATTTATGTATGCTATGAAACAATAAGTTTTAATTTTAACAATCAAATATACTTTAAATTTCAACAATTGAGAATTAGAATTCCGAAAATGTTAACTGTATAGTGTGTAAAATTTGTAAAATAAAGAAGGCTTTCGATAACGAACTGTTTTAAAATAACATTGTACTAACAATTTAAACAATCATTGCATTTTATCTTACTCATACTGTTAGTACGTATGTGTTTCTATTTACTGTCACGAGAACAGAAAGATAATAATGTACTCGAGTGATAATCACGATTATCCACGAACATACTACATTCATACACTAAGGAATATGTAAATAATGCAAGATCGTTTGTTAATATATAAAATTGATGGAATAAGTACAGAAAAACATTTCATTCATTTTCAGCCTTAAATATCGTCAAACCTACGATAATGATCGTACCGTTTATAAAGCTGTTTCAATTTTTCTCTAGTCTTACAGTAATTGATTGAGATAAATCAAACAGAAAAATGACTGACAATGATTTATTCACTATTGGTAGTGAGTCATTTTCAGATGGAGAAACATAACGGTACTGTAAGAAGTTACTATTTTTAAATACAAGTAAAAGCAATTTTAATTCAATGAGAGTGTAAATATTATTTTGAATTTTTCGTTTGTTTAAGAATAAATATAGACGAAAAAATTTGGTTATCATATTTTTTGCACAATTCTTAAGAGTTAACTAACGAAAATCCAGAAAATTCAGTTCGTCGCGTCTTTCAGACAAATAAATCTGATTTAAACAAATTCTTCTTCCTTTAACCTCGACAAGACCATATGGCTTATTTTCAAGTATCACCTTCGTTCCATAGAAACAAATATAATAAGCAGAATTTCGTCGTTCTTATTTTCATACTCTGATTAGATCAAAACTGTTTTTATTTGTATTTAAAAATAGTAACTTCTTACAGTACCGTTATATTTCTCCATGTGAAAATGACTCACTCCAATAGTGAATAAATCATTGCCAGCCGTTTTTCTGTTTGATTTATCTCAATCAGTCACTTTAAAATATTTTGTAGTATGATTCACTTTTCAGACTACCTAAGTCAACGAAAACTAACATTTAATGGACTTAATGCCTCCTGTATAGTTTCAAAACTGTTCGTTAAAGGTCACTGTTTTTTGTCGGTTATTCCATCGTGCATCATAGCCTAAAAACAGGCATTAAACTATATGTACGTAAAACTAAAATTCAAGTCGGTCGTTAACTGCCTTTTAGCAGTCCATTTTGAAACGGTTAACTAACCAAAGAACAACGCAGCATTTAAAGTTGGTAATTAAATGTCAATTGTAATCCATTTATCAACAAACCATTCACTCGTTTGTTTCGCTGTTTTAACTAACATAAATTTATTTTTTATT